GAGCCGGGGAGGCTGCCAGCGCTGATTCACCGGGATGGATTGGAGCGAGATGGGAATCCGCTCGCTCAGGCATCGCCTGCAGCCTCAGCACAGCGCAGAGCTCCGCGGGGACTGCAAAAATCCCACCCAAGCAGGAGGGGGAAGAGAAAGTCATCGTGAGGGCGCCTACCTCCTAACGCCTCAGTAAGGCACAAAGAACACATTTACGGATAAAGAGCTAATGAGCCGTGACTTTTTGGAAATTTTCAATCCAGAGGGGCAGCAGTGGAAAAACTAACTGTTCCTCCAACCGACCCCTAAGCAAAGGTTACGTTCTTTACCTTGTAACGTCTTCTCTCTCATAGCACGACAAGCTTGCACGTAGGTGGAGTACAAGTTGGAGGGTATTTTATCCGCTCTATAACAAAAAAATTTTAAAAAAAAGACATTTATTATACTGCATAACCACATTCAAACTGCAGCTTCATTAAATATAAGCATAAACAGCAGCCATGCTATGAAATGTAATTACAGAGGCTCCCAAGCACACAGAGCATCTGAAGCGGTTTTTAATCAGCGTCTGACACGAGGGCCAGAAATGTACGTCCAAGGCTTCCACGGCAAGCATTACCCATGTGCCCCACACACTACACAAACACGACACCCTATACCTTTTTAATGCCTGCATTAATGCCTGTTCCACACATAGTACACATCCAAGACCACATCAGAGGGCGAGTCAGGCAGCAAACCATACACACACATCTAAAACGCTAACGTGATGGAGACCAAAGTCTGACCTCCAGCACTTGCTGGGCAGGCCCTCGATGCTAAAAGCCCATTACACGAGGCTTCCTAGAACTCAGCTGCTTCTCTCACAGCTTTTAATTTTGAAAAATGACCCAGGGTTTTTCAGAGCCAGGCTGGAAGGACAAGGCGGGACCAAACGCCTCGTCTGCGGGCAGCGCTGCGAACATCTTTTCTTCATGGTAGGTTACAGAGGAATTACTGGGTTTAAAATAAAGCTGTTTCTGCAACGCAGAAAAGCACTTTTAAACACGCACAGAGGACAAGCTGCAGTTCTGAGCGGGGCTGTGTTCTCCTGGGACATTACCCCGCTGTCCCTTAAGAGCAGCATTAACAGACATTTAAGTCTCATCTTCCCCTTCTCCCATATCCTCTCCCGAAGAGAGGAGAGCTTTTCACAGGGCAGGGCTCACCTCCCCGGTGAAATTTTAGATTCCGCAGTACCCTCCAAAGTTCGCATAAAAATTTATCTGGCCTGCAGTCAGAGGGCTGCATGGGATTTCTGCTAGATAATGGTTTCACAGGGGCTGGAGGGCTAATTACAGAGCTGAAGATGTTCACCTACACGGATAAGCTGCCCAAGCCACGAGCCTGGCCACGAGGCCCTGCCAAGGGGGTTGGCCAACCCTCGGCAGTTTGTAAACAAGGCGCCAAAGCCTCCGGTAACCTGATGTAAAGTCAAACCTTCCCAAGAGAACGTCCAGAAGCACAGAAAACAACACTGGGAAGTGTCAATACCTCTTTAAAGACTCTATGAAAGCCACGCGGGCGTCTGGAGCTTTAGGGAGCTGCAACAGAAAGACGGGCAGGTCAGGTGCAAGTCGCCTGTCTACAAACACACCTGAATGGGAGGGTCAAAAGGAAAAAAAAAAAGCCAAAACCAAATACTAACCACACGAGGCCTGAGCAGAGCAGGAAGAAACCAGGAGGTGTAATATGGTCGCCTGAAAATACTGACACAGAAAAGAAATACAGCAAAACATTAACAATGCCAGAGCTGCAAAGCGCCGTCTCCTCACCTCAAGAATTAACGTGGCTCCTGCAGACAAGAAGTATTCACGGTAACGTGAATACCCACGGACAAGTCAAGTTCAGATTAGCCAACAGTTATTCATTTCTTTAAGTTTGCTTTTTATTTATGAAAACAACGGTGGGCTTCTCGTGCAGGTGTGCACACGCCTTTTCACCCTCTGCACAAACAGCCCCTGAGGAAGTGGACAACATGGGAAGAATTTCCCAAAACCTCCTTTGCTCACACCCTCAAATTTTCTTGTTTTGTTATTTGGATTTGGCTTTTATTATTACTACAGCTAAAACCAAGAAGAGCGGAAAAGCGCGTGGTACCTGGCTTCTATCACGGACGTGGGGATCTTCCTTGTGTTTTCAAATATCTGAAGGGCCTTTTCAACGTCACGAAGCGCCTGGCCCTGGGGCTGGCTCACACAAGGAACCACGAGAGAAAGATGCTGTGAGAAATCAAGGACGACGACGACGACCTGCCCTGCTTTTATTCCAGGGTTAGCAACAGCTGTCTGTGCCGCGAAGGGAAGCGACTGGACGAAGTCAACCGAGTAACAAGAGCTACCTGGGGACACGCAGAGTAGAGCTGGGGGATGGAGAGGCGGGCCCCGAGCCGTCAGTGAGGCTGTTACTGATAACAGCGGGTCTGGGGCTGCCCAAAGGCCCCCCCAGCTCTGTACCCACCTCCTCCAGCAGCTGCAGCGGACACCCCTGCTTAACATCACCCTGTTTATTCCGTTGTCCCCCACGAGGACAATATATTTTCTGTTCTGAATTTGGTTTGTTTCTCTGTTTTAAGTCATACCCTTGAAATTAAGGCCCATAACCTTCACCTCCAGCCCGTGCTACTACACTGCAGGCAGAGGGGCTGCCGCCCCGCGTTTCTCTTGTTCGAGCCTGCAACCACCTGGGCCAGCTTCTCAACCGGCAGGCTTGGAAGAAATCAAATGAAGCCTTCATTTATGATTTTTACTAGATTTCATCGTGGCACATGCAACTACCCTGCCACCAGCCCGGCCTTGGTGTACTCCAGCTGGCTGGCTGTCTAAGTGCAGCCCCCCAGACTGCCGTGCCTGTCAGTGAACAGAGGAAGGAGCAACAGAGCCAAATCCTTCCTTGTCGGTGACTGTCGTTACACAAAACTTGTCATGAACGACAGCGTGAAACTGCAGACTGGATTCCCTCCCCAAATCTCCTTTAGACACGAGCACTCTGAGTAAAGGCCAAAGAGACGACACGCTGTACTGAGAGGAACGAGCACGAACCACTTTCCGAAGCGATCAAATCATTGCAGGCCCATCCATAGAGGGAAACGTCACCATCGGATCACACGGGCCCTCAGCAGAGCTGACGCAGCCCCAGCTCCTGCAGACCTGGCCTCTGCACCCCCACACCATGCAACCCACTAGGTCCTCCCCCACTGAGTCTTCCGTTGATTTTCTCTCCCTCAGCAGAGGACGGGCAAGAGGCAGCCAGCACTGCCCTGGCTTCAAACAGCAGGCGCTGAGCGGGTGGCTAGCGAGGTGCTGCTTGGCCAGGAGCTGGCTGGCTAACTGCCGAGTTCCTCTGCAGCCTCGCCGCAGAATACTCACCACAGTCTGCCCGTCGTCTCTCTAAGTCTGGTTTCCCTGAAGTCTGGGGAGAGCCTGCATATTTATGGCCACCGAGCCCTCTCTTAAAGCTGGCAGCGTGCTCAAACTCGGCAGGAATGGGCACCCTAAGCTGGAAAAGGGGGCAGGACTGACGAGAAAGGTGCTAGGCAGACCACCAGTACCTGCACAGGCTCATCTGCGGAAGACAAGTCTTCATAGAGCCCCATATCTTCTATAGCCACCTGCGTGAGGTTAGAGACGCACGCGGTCACAACACAGCTAGTGTTTTGACAGATCCAGAAAGAACTCTTTCAAAAAGAGACAGTTTTTACTAACCTTGAGGTCGGCCAGTCTGGTTTTAGCCAGAGTGATGTACTCCAAGAGAATAGACCGATGTTTGGCTGGCACGAAAGGCGGGTACATTATATGGACCTGAAAGGCAAAATTCAAAACAAGACTTGCCGTTTTTACAGGAAATCAGGGTAAAATTCCGGCTAATGTTTACAGCCATTTACCTCAAATATTCCCCAAAGAAGATATTAATGCCTGCTTTAAGAAAAGCCATTTTCATGGCAACTGACGTGCCATTTTTCCCCAAGAGTAAACAAACAAACAAATCACTAAAGTGCTTAAATTTAACTCCATGAAAGGAATTCTCCTTGTCAAGTGAATAAGAGAATCTTGTACTTTCTTATTTCAGGGAGAAAAGGTTTTGAATAACACACAGTAATAGCATGACTTTTGGCGACAACATTGATAACGTGCTGAAGCTAGTCGTACGTTCCCTTCGGAGCAGTTCTGTATCAGCCTTTAGGAAAAACCATCTCCGTTTGCATCTCCTCACCTTCAAGTACGGCGCCGCTTCAAAGGGCACTAGCTCTGACAAGAACTCGAAGAGGAAGACCAGAGCTTTCTTACTGCTGCCGTGGTGGCCACCGGCGCTCCCAAAGGAAGCCTGAAACAGGGGAAAACGACAACCCAGCCTTTCAGCGTGGAGAAAACCCCCTCTGCACGCGGCCCACAGAGCCCAGGCATCCGTTACAGGTATCTGCTTTCTGTCAAAAGGACCTTTCTGGAGAAAAGCCTCCAGAAAAAAAAAGTCTCCAGGGGCGTCTATGGAAGTTCTCTGTGTTTCTCTGTCCAGAAAGCCTGCCATGTCATGCTCAAAGTTCGTTCTGATGCGCAACCACCGAGAGGAGCCAAACAAGGCAACACCAAAACGCACCAAAGGATTGAGATTTCAAAGAACCACAAACCTGCCAGTTTCTACCCAGCTTTATCTGGGCGTTATAAGGAAAATAAGCCAGTCTGAGACTCTACAGAACACAACCTTTTGATACATCCTGAACGCTATCAGCAAAGGCTGAGCTTGGATTTGCAAACTCATCCAGAGGAATGTACAGGTTTAAATTATGTGGAGCTTTGCATACTGAAAATACCTGCATGTTTACAACCAAGAGCTAACGAGCAATTATCTGTGAGGTCAAACACAGCAATTACAGCTGCATGCAAACATCCAGGAAACAGAAATGCTTCATCTGCAACAACCTACAACTTATGCAACAGCAGCAGCGCTGGTTATCAAGATACTGAAGTACACCCAAGATTATGATTATAACAGGAATGACACGTCTGCATTGCTGGCAAACACCTAGAGAAGGCAAGATGGGCTTAAAAGATGAAAGAACGAGACTGGAGAAAGCCAAATAAATATATTCTTTGCAGACACAAAGGCAGGAATAAATACTAAATCATTCCAAATACTCTTTTTGACTTCCCTCGCTCTCAAATGCCTGGCTATCTTGTCTGAAGCCAGGCTTTTGCTGTGCAGAACATTCCTTATGCACAGGTTTCCTCACACACTTAACCCAAAGATTACCAGTCGGGCCTCATTCAGCCTTACCCTAAACCACTCGGCGTACGGCATGAACACAGCGGGGCCCTCCAGGGCAGCCTGGCGAGCGATGAGGAACGCAGTGATCATGTTTTCCATGTCATAATTCTCAAAGGCCTTCATCAGGAGGTGGCTCAGTAGCTCTAGAAACATAAAACAATAACCTCAAACTGCGCTCTCGACAACCGTGCTGCAATTTCTACAGCAAAGGAAGGCAAATGTCTGTGGTAAAAGATCTGCCCCACCAAGGAGGATGTGCTTTGCAGCTCGGGGAACCTTTGAAGCTTGTCATGTGCTTTCAACAAATACTCTGGGATTCCAGCCTGCAAGAACGGCAGGGAGTCCAGCAATGAGGTAATGGGTAAGAAACTCTAACAAACCAGGCGGGCTAGCAAAGGTGAGCTAGAAGGACCGAGGCTCAGTGAGCCCTAATCCAATTAACAGCGAAGGCAATGGCCAAATAACCACTCGTAGCGGTACGTAAAGCTCGAGAAGCGCCGGGCACAAGGCCTGGCATCCACGTCGCCACCAACGTGGAACATCTGAACAGAAAAGCAGGTTTTTCTGCTGTTCCTCCCGTGCGGGAATCTCCAAAGAGCAGCTGCGAGCGACTACGCTGCTACCCCCGCCGGCACGGCTCCCCTCCGCGGCACCGGAGCGGCGACGAGCGCCCGTCAGCTCGCAGGCTTGCCAGCGCCCGCTTACCTCTGAAGAGCTGCTCAGCCTCAGCCTGACAGACGACCAGCGTGGAAACGCAGGACAGGACGTGCTGCCAGTTCACTTCGCGAGTCTCCAGCACTTGCTGCAGCTGGGAGATGGACTCCTTTGCGCTGCACGCCACGAAGAGCTGCAGGAGTGACAGCCACTCATTTTAGCTGGGGCAGGCAGCCCCCCGTGAGAGTGAAATACGGCCAAGGCTAACGTGCAGGCGGCTTTGGCACGGCTTTTGACAAAAGCCACTGGTGTCTTTTGCACCAGCCCTCCAGGGCCAGGTATCACCCTGGCTCGGAACCAGCACTGGCCAAAATAAACATTAATATTCCAATTCTTTCGGAAGTTGCGCTCTGTAAGAGTGAAAATCCACGTCTTCAACTATTATCTTTGTTCTCCTTAAGAGCTTTGCACAAATTAAATTCCCTGCAGTAATTCTGCTTCGTGCTTCCTCCTGCCTACAGCTTCTGGCAGCTGGTTCAGATTCTGCGGCTGGAACGCCCCATCTTTAAATAATCTCATTTCAGATACCTGAATGAATATAAACCCAACGTGATAAAGTCCCCTTTGTGAAACCAGGAGGACATACTTTGCGATACAAGGTAGTGAGCAGCGAACAAGTTCTTGGAAAGCTCCACTCTTTCTGCATACGGATGGCATCAGACACTGCACCCAGAAAAAGAAAAGTTTACTTTTCAGCAACCGGTTTTAAAATACACCCAAACCGCAGACGTTCACCACAGGAGATTTCTCCCTTGGCAGCCAGACGCATTGAGAACCGCCCACCGAAATCCCCCCGCTCCCGTTTGTCTTTGGAACAGGGGCTGCGGCAGCACGGGCCGCGCCGGTTCACTGCGGCACCGTCACCTCAGAGCTGCTCCTGCGCTCACACACGCTCGTAGGCCCACCCAGCGTGTGCACAGAGGATCAGCAAGGAATCCCCTTCTCCCCCAACAGCCTTTCAGCTGGCAGCCAGCAGTGGCACAGCTCTCCCACCCAACAGGCAGGCAGCTCTAGGTCATAGCTCAGAGCGATTTGACCAGAGGTTTTGCAGCCCAAATGTATTTTGTCCCCAAAACATCAAGCTTCACCATTCCCGATCACGGAACAGCAGCTTTCCTGCCTCTCTCTAATCCACCAAAGAAACACCCAGTCAGCAGGGAAAGGCCAAGCCTCGTGCCTAAACCCAAACACACGCAGGGGCCAGACCACTTCACCCCCGAGCGCTCTCTGCGGCACCACCTCTCCCACCCAGCTTCTCCTTTGGCCAGAACTGCCCCCAGTGCCCAGAGCTCTCCCACGTCTGCTCTGTGAAGGCTGCTGTTAGATGTTACTCCAAATATCTGTGCACGAGCCGTCGGATGAAGCTCTGCTTGAAGGCACTGATTTCCCACCTAAAGTTTTCTGCTAAAGCCCAGGTGAATTTTTTCTGCCTGATCTGTCCCCCTGCTAGTACAGCCCCTGGGAGCGAGCTGGGGAGTCAGGCAGCTCCTCTGCCTCCGCGTCCTCCAGGCTGGACTCCCTTCAGCGAGCCCTGGGTGGGATGGAGCTCCAGACACACAATAACACACCCTGGAGACACTCCAGCCCGTTCCTACCTTTCAACAGCGGGTTGTGGGTGAGCACCGCGGTCAGGGTGTGGCGAAAGAACTGCTGCAAGGAATCTGGGTGAACCGCGCTCCTATAAACTGACACACTGAACACGTTCAGCCTAGAAATGACAAGGAAACGTTCGGAAACAACGCACAGGAAGGATGACAAACCAGGTACTGATTAGGGCAAATGACTCATTTTTCTTCTACATCTAACTGCCAGAGAAATATGCTTTTTTTGTGTATGCATGTATTTAAAAAAAAAAAAAATCCATTGGTCACCCAGCATGACGTAGCAATGAGATTTACAACATACAGCCCTGCACAGGACGGGACTGAAGGTTGACATGCACAAAGCAGGTAAACCAAACAGGGCTGGAAGCAGGAACTGGAGGAGATGATGGCACCTTCCAGGCGTTTCTGCCGAGGAGCAGAGAGAAAACTCGACGGGGGAAACTCGCCACGTGCCAAGAGGGAGCTCCAAGGCTGGCTCCAACGCTGCCAGCACACCCTCTCCTACCTGATGCTGCTTCTCACCAACATTTTCATTTCTGCATATTTTATTAGAGAGGAGAATACTAAACATAAGCAGCGCTGGGGGGTGCAGAGCATGTGTAGATAAATAAAACCCCACAACATTCCCCCAATTCCAGTAGCAAGCGTAACAGCGGTTAAAAAACCTGACATTACTCAGGGGAACAGCATTTCTTACCAGAACCTCATAGCTTGCAAGGTGGAAACATCTTCCTGCTTCTCTTTCCCAACAGCATCAAGCACCCCTGAACCAAGGAAATCAGGGACATAAATATTATCCACCCCTGAACCCCAAAATAAAGACACAAAACCACAATGAGAGAAATGGCGGGAACTGCGACGCTCAGCACCACGCAGGAACTAACAGGAACGAGCAAGCTGTGCACCTTTAAGGAGGTGACCCCATTAGGGAAATAAACGTGCAGGAGCCATTCAGCAGCATTAAATTCGTACAAAATCTTTTCAGAAGTGAGACAGAGACTCCAAACCTATTAACGCTAACCTTGAACCAATTTAAAAGCATTCCCAAGAACGTGTTAATAATTAAGCCACCTAAAAACGCACATACATTAGTATTTCATTTCCAAACCCAATCCTAATTGTGCAGTGCCCCTGCCAGCGTGAACTCTGCAAAGCTGCACACGAGAAAGGTCTGTCCGGAGGCAGGGATTCACCTTGAACGAACCACCCCTGGAAACAGTGGTCCTGACGGCCCCGGCCAAACACAGAGCACGCTGCTGTGAGCGCCACCCGTGTGCAACGGCAGCGGGACTTCACGTTACGTTTGCTTAGCCGAAATTCCTTCAAAAGCCAGATCTGCCCCAAAATGCCTCGTAGAGGTCAAACAGGTTGGCAGCTTGCCCAGCACATCGCCTTGACCGGCGGCCTACACCACTCGGTGCCTTCCAGCCTGCTGCAGCAGCACTTTTTCCTGTTTCTTGTCCCATCCTGCCTTGAAAAGCCTCCTCTTAACAGCCAACACTGAGCAGGGGCAGCAAACCAGGCACCCCCCCACACGGAGGCAGCGTTAACAGGTAATTCTCTCCTCCCCTGCTGAGGAATACTTTAAGGTTAAGTAGGGGAGAACAGAGAAAAGGAGATAAACTCTGCTTATCCTCAGGCACAGGAGTTCAATATAGCAAGACCAGTACTATGAAGCACGGTGCTCCCACACTATTCTCAGCCTGTCCTCCTCCTCCTGTGAAGGTCTTCATTAATAGTGCATTGTTTTACATAAAGAATCCTAACGTTCGTTAAAGCAGCTGATTAGCTGAGTGAAACCCCTCAAAGGTGACCCAAAAGTATACACGAATAAAAACACCTCGTACAAAACTAATTTAATACACTTTTCAGACACACAGACTGCAAGTCAGTGGCAGCGCAGGCTGCACGAACGTGAAAGTCAGACGAAGAGCAGATTAGCAGACTCCTGTCTGCCTGCCAACAGCCTGCTTCTCCTCCTCCAAAATCTCCCTAGTCCTGGTTTTGTTGGGTTATTTTTCAAGTACCAACACTGTTAAAGGGGCACCCGAGACGGGACTCAGACACATTAAATAATAAAGCACTTCTCTTACAGCTTTCCCTTTTTAGAACCGCTCGGCGAGGTCTGAAGGGCACCTCTGTCTGCAGACACTGCTCCCTGCGAGACGTGGGGTAAGGGCTCAGGCTGGCAGCGCCCAGGGGCAGAGAGGAGTCCTGGGGCTGTGTCCTGGTTTTCAGCCACCTCACGGCGGGGGAAAAGCGCTAACCTCTGCAGTGGCACCCAGCACGTTGCTGGGACATGCCAGCAGTGCTGTCACTAAGGAGACAGGCGAGTGGCAGCAGCCGTGCAGTCAGATTATACCAACGCACCGGTGCAGGGCACGTGCGGGGCTGGGAGCGAGCGCGAGGGGCGGGGAGGGCATCCTTCCTCTGCTGTGCAGCAGAGACAGCAACTTACCGTGAAGCCCATCTGCGAGAGAAGACAAAAAAAATTAACCCTCATGTGGGTTTAGACTTTCCACATCAGGATTTGCGACACCAGTCAGGTGCCCCTGCGCCTGCCCAGGCCAAGACAGGCACGTTGTCCATGGGGCAGTTCTTGAAGACCATGTTTACAGACCACACATGTACAGCAGAGGCCTTTGCTCAGCATTGAAAAAAAAAAAAACACAACCCTCAAATAGGTTTCATAAAACATTACTCTGCAAATCCAGACTGCGAGCCAGCCATATAGCTCACTTGCACGGAACTTTGTAAATTCAGCGTTTAATTTCCCTAAGCAGAAAAACTTCTTGAAAAATCAGCTCAGATCTCTACCTGATGTTGCAGCTGGGAGCACCAAAATGAACTGGCACCACAGGCAAGAGGTGAGCTGCAGTGTTAGGAACACACTCACTTCACAAGAGTGAAAGGGAAAACAGAGACACACGAAATCAGGGACATAAACATTATCCACAACAGAGGAAAGGCATCCCAGGCAGAGGATTCATCCTTAGAGATTTAGCAATCAACAGGGAAGGTAAATCTAGCGAACACCAGTGACTGCCCAAAGCTATGAATCACAGACAGACTTACATGTCAACATTCTCTGTAAGACAGCACGGCAGATCTGTTCAAAACAGAGAAATTAAGACCATTCAGAATTTAAAAGAGCTACAGTTATATGCAGAAAAAGTAAATTGACTCAAAGAAAAAGTTTTGTCCCTCTTAATTTAAAGCTTAACTTTAAAGGAACCTCGGGCTCTACTGGAGCACAGACACAATAGACAGAAGGCAGCGTTTCCCATGCCTCGCATTCAAATGGAAAAAAAGCCAACAGAGCAATGGAGGTGAAACCAAGGAATTTTAAAAAGCCCTTGATGCCTCTCCCTGGAGAAATTCTCCATCCAAAAAGCCTCTGTTCTGTCCCCATTTCCTCCTCGCCCACTCCAGCACCTGGACCCATCACCCTTTCTTTGTTGCTCGAAGCTCTGGTTTAGTTACCCTCAGCAAGGCCCAAAGGTACACAACGGAGCTACTTTTTTTTTTTAAACAACCGGTGTAAATAGGGTCATTTTGTCCTTACATAGGGAACCTTCTTGAATTCCAGCTTCCTTCCCAGCTCGGAGGGCTGCTGAAAGCCGTGCTGAAGAAACACGATCGCAAGGTCTGCGAAGCAAGAAGGAATCAGTGTTTCAGCATCCCCCTTGCAGTAAGGACCAGGTGCTCTTTCACCTCCCCGTCTCGCTCTCCCAACAGGACTGGTGCCTGAAAAGCCTCATTCACCACACAGCAGTCGGCAGGAATCACGTATTTTCTTGCAGTAACATTACTCCCAGGCAAAAGGGCCCAGAACAAGGAGCACAGATGCTTGAACGACTATAAAGACTAAAGAATTTACGGGTCTTGTGCTCTGTCACCACTGCAGAGCCCATATGGCTTGTACCTGGCCAGCTGCACTGCTTCCAAGGTCTGACTGCAGCTCTTCAACCAAATTGCGTAGTGATTTTTTTTTTTTTTTTTCTAAACAAAACCCACAAAATAAATAATAGAAAATGGCAGGAGGGAAGCGGAACTATTAAATATTTCTGGTCCAAAATACCTCAGGCACTTTGCAGGAGTGTCACGCTCCCCATCCATCACCCCTGGCCCCGTACACCTTGCAACTACTCTTCCTTGTGATACTACAACTCAAAGGGATACAGACGTTCAAACCAACCACCTTTTAAAGGCAAAAAAGAATTGCTAAATTCGCCCAGTACAAAAACACATTCCCCTCACTGAAACGAGGTAAAGAAAAGCAAAGGGAGGCCTCTGCTCCTACACCCCCCCCAGCCCCCGCTGCCAGCTGGGCCGACCAGCAGCCGGGCCCGGCTCCACCAGCGCCCAGTTGAGTGTCTTGCCTGAGAGAATGCGCCCAGCGAGCTCCACGTCCCCAGAAGACCCCTCCGCCTGCTCACAGAGGCCGCAGAGGCTGGGGCCTGCCCCCCAGCCACTCCACCGCAGCAGGGGCGGCCGGGGCGCTGAGGACAAAGAAAAGCACGTTCTGTTCAACCCCTCCTGCTTTTTTGGAAGGTTTTTGCTCCACCACGCCTCCTTGGACTCAGGAAGGAACCATCTGCAGAGGACTCTGCCCTATATGGAGCATTTCATTTCTTCAGTTTGGCCCAGCAAGAGGTTTATTTGATTTACAAAAAGATCCCACAACAAACACATCCCAAGGAAAAAATACAGGTGAAGTTGTGCGTTCAAGTGTTGCCTCATCTCCGACATGGAAGTATTGCCATTTAAAAAGTTCTGCTAGAAGAAAGACTTTAGCTCTTATTTCTAAGATATTTAGATAAAAATGCTTTAAAAAGAAAAACAACACCAAAAAAAAAAAAAACCACCGAGCTCTTAATGGATCCCTTTGGTTTCCTTAAATTTGCAGTACAGTGGGCACTGAAGGCTGTTTTCCTGTCCCACTGACGGACAAGTAAACCAACACCAAAAGCCTAAAAGATTGCTGTAACGTTCCTTTGACACCCTCAGAAAGCCACCTGCACTTCACAAAGGGTAACTGGTGTCAGCTCCGTATCGGGAAAAATGTAAAATAAAATAAATCAATCCTTGGAATAACTGTTCTCTGGAGATTAACTCGGCCAAACCTGACGGAACCGCAGGGTTTTGTGAGGGGAGGAGCACACTGTTTCTGCAAAGCCAGACTCCCCGGTGAAACCAGCACTCGTTTTGAGGGGCTAAATGCCAGTTTCCAAAGCAGCCCAGGGGAGCTGAAGGCACTGGGCTACCAAGCCCTCGAGACGAAGCACCACCGAGGAGGCCCGGCAGCCTCCCGCTGCACGCTGGGGCGGGCTGGGCAACCATCAGCCATCCCCCGCCCCTCCCACTGCGCTAATTAACCCAGAGTAACCTCCCACACCCCGGGTAACTTCTGAAATCCTGCTAATCTGATCCCTCGCCATCATCTGACTATATTCTTAGTCCAGAATACTCGGGAGTAATCCCCGATTACACCTCGATAGGCTTTAAGAGATTAAATACATCTGCAAACCTATAAACCTCTGCTCACCTCTCCAGCAGCTCTGCCAGGCCAACGACGTCCCCTCGGTGCAGGTGCCACACAGCTTCCAGCACTGGGGGGTCCTAACGAGATGTCACAATTAGGGCATAGTCATAGCAGTCCACATCCACCTTTGGCTAACAGAAACTGCTCAGAACAAATAAAAGTAAGTCCCGTTTATTGAAACCATCCAGAACTTCCTGACATTTACAAGGAGAACACAGGAAACACCAGATGAGGACAGATTACACCTGATTTTTCCTTCCTACAAATTTTGAATGGTTGTAGGTGCATCTTAAATTTTTTACAGTCAAGCAATAAATAACTGCCACCCCGGCATAGTGCTGAATCTGCACATCCAAAGGAGCAGCAGCTACCCCAGAAAACTGGTGACGCCACCAAGTTCCAAGTCTTGCTACTTCAGATCCAGAACCAGATTAGAGAATTATCGCTTAGCCTGTTAACTCCTTATTAGCCCCTGTAAGGTGAGTTTGCTGCTCTCAGGTGCATTTCCCCGACAGGAGATGACAGAAAGCGACGCTGCAACCGTACGGGCCGCGAGGCCGAGGGACGGAGGAGAGGCCAGCCCCGCTCGGGCAGTCCTGCTCCCAAAGGCCAGGCTCGCCATCGGCAAACTCGGCACTAGGCACCGTTTCCAAACCTGCCGCCCTTCGTGCCGCCCTGCAACACCCCTCCCAGCTCCCACCCGGCCCAGCGTGTCCTGTGCCAGCAAACCAGGGCTGCAGGGTGCACCTGGCAGGGGAAGGGGGACAGCAGCGGCTTCGGCTCCTTCCAGCCTCCGGACAGAAGCAAAGTCCTCCCACCTTGTGAAGGAAGAGCCACTTGGGGGCCTTGGGCACACAAGCCATTCAGGACAAAAACCCCACGAGCTTTTGGTGGTGACCAGGAGCTGCCTCGTAGCATGACCCTAGACTCACCCACATACTTTGTCTTCGACAAACTACTTCTGTGCTGCACCAATCTCAATTACACAGCAGCACTCGATCTCCGTGTCTACAGGAGAACAAGGAGATCTTGATCAGCCTACAAAACACACAGGGTTCTATTTTCAGCCCAGGATCGGATATTTGAGACCAGAGTGCGCCTCTTTATCCTGCCAGATCAGCCTCTTCCTTCTTTCCCACCGGAGCAGCGAGCAATCAAACCTGTCTGGCTCACACAAAGCCCTCAACTCCACTTAGAGCATCACTTTTCTTCAGAAAACAGCCAAAGGAAATCAAGACAACACGTTTGTGAAGCAAGGCAACCTGGTACCTGCCCGCCCGTTTCTCTCAGGCCACTTTCTGCATGAACTCACTCGGGCTTATCACCGGCCCCAGGCAAACGGAGCGGGGAACCAGAACACCAGAATGTTGCTGGTGAAGCACATAAAGGATTTCCAGGCCCACGCCACCCCACAGCCAGCCGGGAGCTTCGGCACCCCCCGGTTCACCAATCTGCATTGCTCAGCCCTGGCAGCAAACCTACACACCAGCTGCCGGAGAGAGTGTCCAGGGCGTTTCACGGAGAACAGCGAGGCGGTGAAGCCGAAGAGGAAAGAAAACGACGCCCCAAAGCTTCTATCAACCGCCGTGTCACCCAGGTGAGGTGAAGGCACCGCCCGTGCTGGAACTCCAGACACCAGGCTGCCGTGCCCTCCCCAGCCAGGCACTGAGCACAAAGGGGAAGAGCGAAACGAGAGGCAAGAGCGCTCCCCGAAACCCAGCGCCCGACAAAACTCTCCCTTGCGGCAGTTTCCCAGAAGCGGCCCCGCAATTTTAACAATTCACCTACTTCCAAACCTCTCTCCTGAGGCCTCTTCAAAAAAAAGCAAATCCCGCCACAGACTCGAGTGAACTCCACAAAACGCAGCATTTACAATTCAGTTCGTGCTTCCAAAAGGTCAGAGCCACCACGGCCATTCTCAGGAGGAGTTCACGACCGCAGCCGACGATGAGCGGGGATGAGCGGTGGCCAGACGGCTCCAGGTCACCAAAAAACCAGCGAGGGAAACTGAATGGAAACCACAGCCCTTCACGAGCCCATTTATCGGTTATCCCTGGCCTTCACGGGAGAGGAGGGTTGAAAACACATCACCAGCTCACATGGATGAAGTCTCAAGGGTCTGTAACTCACCAACGCTGCTCCAGGAGTCCTTACCTTCGTTTTCCACATTTCTTGACAGAAGCGCGAGCGACAGAACACAGTGCTGGCCAGCAAATCCCCGAGTGTTTGAAGCAAGCGAGACAACCTCTCCTGGAATCACCCCAGAAATGAAGCAGAAATCATTTCCTTTGTAAATAACACATTCTTAGAAAACCAATTTGTTGCCTTTCCCTGTTTACTGCTTTTTAAAGGCTCGAATGGTGGAGAGAATTCACGGGGAAGGCCCACGCCTTTCATCTTAAGGCTGAACTGAAGGCAGCCAGGCTGATGGCAGCGACGCCTGACAGCTCCTCAGAGGGGACGTGAGCCAGCAGCCACGGCACAGCTTTTGGACAGAGGGCCACCACCCCACGTGGCTACACCGCAAACCCAGCCGATGGATACCGATGGGATCCCGGATTAGGGAGCCCGAGGCAGAGGCACACCAGGGGCGAGAACGGGGTCTGCTCAGAGACACCGACGTGGCGCTGCCGTTCAGCGGCGGACAAAAAACGTCACCTCCAAGCTGTCAAAACCAGCCGCTGTCCTGCGCAGGAGACGAGCGCGTTTGGGTGACGTTAAACCCCACTTATCTGTTCCGGTAAAGGCAAACCAAACAACTCCGTTTGCTGGCTGAACTAAACGTAAACCTTCTCCCTTACTCTCTGGTCCAAATCCAGCAGCGGGCCTGGAGAGGGGCTTGCAGAAGGCTGGCAGATCCGCTCGATGTTGGTGACAGCGTTTTTGGCCGCCAGGACTGCCGCGGGTACGCCCAGCCTTGAGGCCTGGTCCTCCAGAACAGAGACTGGGGGGGGGAAAAGGGAAAAAAAAAAAAAAAAAGGCAGAAAGCTGACAGCCTGGGAGAAAAAAGGGTTTGAACACACAACTATGAAGACAGAAGTCCCACCTCCTTCCAGCACAGATGGCATCTGTTGCAAATAGTTTTTATTTCCATGCGTCATTCCTTTACTGTACATAAAGCAGGGGCAGAACAACCAGCAGCAGAGGTGGAATCTGCTAAGCAGGCTTTTGTATTTTAGTCCTGTGGGGCTCACAGTGATACTTTCAGATAATCAAAATATTTCACAGCCAGACCTGGCCAGCAGTGTCATCACCGGACAAGCGAGAAATGAGGAAGAAAAGGGAGACCAGACCAACGAGGAGAAAGCAACACTGGGACTGCATTTCACAGGCAGAAGTTCAGCACAGAAAGAAAAGTTCTTTCCCACCTCTGTCTCCAACAGATTCCCTTTCACTCACCTATAAACGATCCTGACGACGCTTCCTGGTGCTCTGCACCATCCAGCCCAGCTGGCTCGGCCGAATCTTCCACCTGGAAGCCAAACAAAACCACAACAGCCTTAGATGGCTGTTCCACCCATTTTACAGCCCTACTCCCTCCAAAGCATGCTGAGCCGCCCTGGCATTCTCGGGGGCTGGAGCAAGTGAAAGGAAAATTAACACCAAGCTCCCACACGGTCCTGGTAAAGGAGAGATTTCAGGGCACCTCACAAGAGACACATGTCTAGTTATTGTCATTTTATGCAGAGAAAAGGAGACACAGGACAAAGTTACTCGTCCCCAGTCACCCAACAGAGCAGCAGCAGCACCACCAGGAACAGAATTTGTCTTTCAAGTCCCTTCTGCGAAGCCACGCTGCCATAAATATTTGATGAAACACGTCAAAATGTTGGATCCTTTTCTAGTTAAACCCCCTTTTTTCTTTATAAAAAGACAGATATTCTGTGCAGAAAGAAGCATCCTTGTGGCTGAACTGTGGGAAGTATGTGAGTTGTCTATTCAAGGTATCAAAATCAAAAGCTCTCTCTAGCGTGAGGAGATGGTAGAACGTGGCCAAGTCAGAACGTTGGCTCAAGCACCTATGTAGGCAGATGACACAGGTTTTCATGGAGACAGTCACATTAGTCAGAAATACTTGGTAATTCAAAGAAAACCCAATGGTCTCTCCTGATTTTTTTTCCTATAATCACAAGAAGCCAGCTCTGACCCTAAGGAAAAGGTGCTGGATTTCCCCTTGTCCCAAATCCGAACGATGCTTCACCATTTTTAGTCTGTAACAACAAAACATAGAGGAATAAAGGGGGGGGAAAAAGCACAACAACCTCATTTCTGCAACACAGACCTCTAAACTCCAACTTACTCCTACAGTGCTGTTTTTTTCTTTCCATGTGTCATTAAAACTGTGTTCCCAGGGCATTAATTCTACAGTTGCCCTAGGAAGGATCCTGCCAGCACCCGCCTCCAGCTGGGATCTCCCACAATCCCCAGCCTGCCCATCGCACCCCAAACCGCCCGCTCCTACCTCCAGAAGGAGGTCGCTCAGGTTCTGATGGTGATCCAGAAGGCGCAGAACCTCTTCCTGGAGCTCTGCTTCGCTCCCAAAGGTGCTTTTTCGTTTCCTGGTTCTCCCTGCTAAGAAGTTGGGATGCCTTTTAGAACCACAGCTTGCTCCGACAGCCCCCCAAGGACACCTCCCTCCCTCCCTCCCTCCCTCTGCAGCTACAGCACACACCACAGGCAGGGTAACGGCGGCTTTGGTCAGACCCTCCTCAGCCAGCAGCGTGGCAGGAGCAGCGCAGGGTGTTTCTGCATGGTTTGCTCCGGGCAGCTCTGCAGACAAAGCCCCATGGCCTTCCGCACGAGCAGCCCAGCACAGCCAGAGCCCTGTCAGGCTCTGCCAGCCATCGGCCTCCAAAGGCCCTGGGCCCAAAACAATCAAAGTGCTGCCCTGACACCCCCACCCCAGGACAGGAGCCACGGCAGGGCCACAG